TCCTGGGGTCTAAAATAACAAGTAATAGGTAAAAATTGGGTCTTTTTCGGAAAAGAAAAAAGTTTTAGGTTTAAAAAGAAAAAGAATCAAAATATAGGGTCTTTTATGGAAATAACCCTTTTAAAAATATACAGTCGCTAAATTGAAACGTGGATATAGTTGAGGGACTAATTTAGAAATTTCGGTGACAAATGAGAGGGATTCACTCTTCATTGCGTTCCTCTTCACGAAGCAAATACAGCCCTGGCCATGGTGAAGATAGCTTCAGCTTCAGCTTCTGCTGAAACCTCTCCAAAAACTGCTCATAGGTATTCTTCAAATTCATAATTTCAATCGACCTAAACCTAGCGATTTCAAACTCCAAATTGAAAATGAATGCTTTAGTTTAACACATTAGCTTTAGTTTCTCTCCTACAACTGTAAAAGAATTACAGATACAGTCGATTTTGAAGTCAAGAGTGTTGTGGATTTCAGTCATTGATGGATACCTAAATCGTAACTCGTTTTCAATTTTCCAGGAAAACGGCGTTGAGACCAAAATCGTCGGTGGCCGTGAAACAAAACAGTGCAGCGAAGAGGCCGAAGACGACGGCGGCGGCTAAGAAGAAAGCATCCAAATTAGATGCTAATAAACCCAAAAAACCTCCCACTGCGTTCTTCTATTTCTTGTATGTCTTCTCTTAGTTCTACGATTTGATCTCCTGCATATATGTGCGTTTCTTACTTTTGATATTCAAATCGAATTGAATATAGAGCTTCATAAAATATTGGGGAAAAGCTACATGAACATAGATTAGCAATTTGGTGGAATATGTAATTTGCATTCATAGCCTGTATAAAAGATATAAAATCTCTCCTCCTCCTCATGATCATCATCATTGAAAATAGCCCTAAATATCTTGTATAGTCTCTCACCATTTAGGGTTACATAACATAAACAATTGATGTTTTTCTTGAATTATTTAAGGGAGGATTTTCGTAAAGAATTCCAAGAGCAGAATCCAGATGTCAAATCAATGCGTGAGGTGTGCACTATCTATATAACTTATATCTTATCCTTCTTCATGATTCATGCATCTTCTTTTCTTCATAAAAATATATGATTTGTGTTCTTCATTTTCCATCTTCCAGGTTGGCAAAGCATGTGGAGAGAAATGGAAGATCATGACTTATGAGGTTTGTAGTTTGTACTTTGTCTTAACTATTAAGTCATTCTTTCTGCATTAAGTCAAAAAGAATATTAAAACTTAAATGTTGTGATAGGAGAAAGTTCAGTATTATGATGTAGCAACTGAGAAAAGAGCAGAGTTTGAGAAAGCTATGGCTTGCTATCACCAAAAAAAGGTAACCTTTCTTTTTTCTAATGTTTTTCTGTTAATCTAAACAATTAGAGCATTGTAATTTCAACAAATCAGTTGAAGTAGAAGTATGATATTATTTTTTTTGCATTTTACTCTTTCAAAATGTAATGTTGTAGTATGAACCAATTGCAGGAAAGTGGAGAATATGATGAGTTTGATGAAGACTCGGATTTTGATGAATGAATAAGTTTGCATTTGATGTATGACATAGGAACAATGGTAGTAGTGATGGATATTTTGTATAGTGAATATCAAAATTCAAAACATGTTTTTTTGAAACTGATTTTATGTAAATCATTTCAATTCATCTTTTTGGAAAAGTTATAAATATCGTCCTTGTGGTTTATTGGTTTTTATGTGTATGGACCTTATGTTACATTGGTTGTCGTTTTTGTCCCCAAAATGATTCTTATTTAGATGGTTTATTGTATTTTTCTATTGTTATACATTCATATTAGTCGTGTAATGTTTTTATGCATCTTTATTTAAATTACTAAGGTTAAACTTCTATTATGTAAGTTATGGCAAAACTTCTAGAATGAACGGTAACTCTTGATCACAATTGTATGAAACATGAGGCAGGGACCAAAAATGACAACTCAAAAAATATTATGGCCAAATTGTGAAGTATCAAATACAGACTATTCATAAGTACTACATAAATTAATATAATTATATAATTAGATAAAAGATGTTTATGAAAACAACTCAAAATAGAAGACTGTAATTTTATGAGGAAAAAAGAGCAATTAACTGTAGGTTAAATTACACGGATGGTATATGTGGTTTAGGTCATTTGTGTGTTTGGTTTTCAACAAATTTTTTAACTCGGATCATCCATATAGTATGGTCCCTAACATACTATTATTTCTATAATAACTCATATTTTTAAAATAAAATAGTAACATACTATTATTCATGTAATAACGTATTTTATTTTTAAAATATAAGTATGTAATTTTGAGTTAAAGATAAAAATATATTTCGATTTTGATTTCATAACATAAGCACAATAAATTTTATATTGCTTCGATATAAAATTTTGATAATTAATTTTAAAAAATTATTTAGTTTTATCAAATTTTAACTATTTCCTTAATAAGACATAAACATTTCAAAGCAAAACTAAAAAACTTCTATTAGCTAATAATTAAGTTCGATGCTACACATGCTAAAATAAATAATTATATGAATAATATGACATTAAATTCCGTTTAATTCATTTTATTTAATGAAAATATTTTTTTAACGAAATTAATGTCATATTATTTTCGTTTAATTCCATTTTATATGACATTAATTCTGTTTAATTCATTATATATATATATATATATATATATATATATATATATATATATAGACAAAATTACAAAAA